TAAAAAAAAAAAAAAAAGTTTTTTAATTTAAAAAATAATAATGCTAACAGGCATCTAATTTGGCAGAAAATGATCCCAGATGAAAAGGCAGTAATGCAGAACAAAATAAAGAACACTGGAAAAGATAAACACGTAAGCAAAGAAGAATGAATACTGACTGTTACAACAATAAAAATAATATCTAATGGGTTTTAATAACCTGTAGACCTAAAATGAATGCCAATAATAACATAAAAGGTGTGAGGCGATAGATAAAATTAAAATGTTCCAAAGTACCTTATTACCTAGGATTGTATTTCCCCAAAATAAATTTAAACATGTCCACAAATGACTCACACACAAATGAATGTTCAGAGCAGCACTATTAGAGATAGCCAGAAACTGGAAAAAACTCAAATGTCCATCTACTGTGAATGGATAAGCAAATTATGGTATATTTATACAATGGAATACTACTTACCAATAAAAATGAATGAACCACTGATAGGCTAAAAACTACAGATGACTCTCACAGACATTATGTTGAGAAAAAGAAGCCAGATTCAAAAGAGTACATACTATACAATTCCATTTATATGAAGTTCTAGCCAAGCAAAACCCCAATGTGTGATGCTAAAGTCAGGACAATAGTTCTCTTTGCAGGCAATAGAAACTAGAAAGGGAGAGGAGGGGACCTCTGGGAGGTTGCCAGTATTCTATTTCTTAATATAGTTGTTTACATGGATGTGGAAATTCATCAAGCTTCATACTTAGAATTGTGCACATACATATACTTTTCTATATGAATTTCAAAAGGTTTAACAAATATTTCAGTCATACAAAAAGTTATACAAAGGATAATAAGTCTATATTCACCACTGAGATTAAGAAACAAAACCTTACCAACGTAGGTGATATATATACTACTGATTATACCTCCACCCACGCCACCAGAGATAAACCACTGTCCTGAATTTGGTGTCAACCACTCCCCTGCACTATTTTATACTTTTACTCCTTCTGTAGAAGCTTCCCTAAATGATATGTAAAACTATTTTCCATGTGTTAAAACTATACATAAAAAGTAATTTGATTTCTTTTTTTTTTTTTTTTTTTTTAAGACAGTGCCTCACTCTATTGCCCAGGCTAGAGTGCAGTGGTGTAATCATGGCTCACTGCAGCCTCAACCTCCCAGGCCAAAGTGATCCTCCCACCTCAGCTTCCCAAGTAATTGAGATCACAAGCATTTGCCACCATGCCTGGCTCTTTTCTTTTCTTTCCTCTTCTTTCCTTTCTTTTCTTTTCTTCCTTTCCTTTCCTTTCCTTTCTTTTCTTTTCTTTTTTCTTTTTTTTGTAGAGGTGGGAGTCTCCCTATGTTGCCCAGACTGGTCTTGAACTCCAGGGCTCCAGCAGTCCTCCAGCCTTGGCCTCCCACAGTGCTGGGATTACAGTTGTGAGCCACCACATCTGGCTGGTAATTTGATTTCTATTTTTAAAAGATCATTCTAAAATTAGCACAAGAGAATTTTCTTGGATGACAAGATATTGTATATCTTGATTAGAACATTGGTCACATAGGTATATATATATTTGTCAATATACGAATTGGATATTTAAGATCTGTGCATGTCATTATATGTAAATTATCTCACTTAAAAAAGTTTTCTAAATAGACCGTTCTTGCTTCTTCTCAGGGAATAGATCAGGGCTGGACAGAAGTGGAACCAAGAAAGTCAATTAGAATATTGCAGTAAACCTGATGAGCATCAAAGTCATCTATCTAAAGTGTAAGGAAGAAAAGATAACTTATGGATACAATTCTTTGAGCAGCTTAACTGTGAAGCAGGGCAGTAGCTGGAGGAAGAAGTGAGGCCAGAGGCCAAAAAAGGGTTTTAAAAGATACAAAACAGAACTTAACACTGTAGAAAGGAAAAGCTGAAGAAAGACCATCAATGAGCTGGGCATGGTGGCTCACGCCTGTAATCCCAGCACTTTGGGAGGCCGAGGTGGGCAGATCAGTTGATGTCAGGAGTTTGCCAACATGGCAAAAACCCGTGTCTACTAAAATACAAAAATTAGCCAGGCATGGTGGCATGCACCTGTAATCGCAGGTACTTGTGGGGGCTGAGGCACAAGAATCACCTGAACCCAGGAGCCAGAGGTTGCAGTGAGCCGGGATTGTACCACTGCACTCCAGCCTGGGTAACGGAGTGAGATTCTGTCCCCTCCACACCCCCACACCCCCTAAAACAAACAGAACAACAACAACACAAAAGACCATCCATGAAGAAACAACGAACAAAGTCCTTGAGAAGGTGGGGAGACAGAATATAATGTCCAAGTAGTTTGGTATTTGCTGGCTCACAATGTCTTTTTGCTTTTTAACTGAAAGGAAGTTAAAAGAAGGATACATATGCAGGACAGATTGTTTGGTGGTGAAAAGATAAAAGTTCTCATCTGATGGCTGCTACTTTTTCAATGAATACAAGTCATTTTCTGAAAAAGACAGAGGATGGGAGCTCTGAAGCCTGTGAAAAACAGTATGGCATTACATTAGAAAAGCATCCCAGTGTGATGGGGAGTGGTTAAGAAAAATGAAAGGTTCCATTTTAGACAGGTTAAATGCCCAACAGATATCCAAACTCTCAAAGTACAGTATGAACATGAAAGCAACAATACTGTAATTAATCTTTGATTATGCTGCACAAAGCACAGTGTATCCTATATTAGGTACTCAAGAGGGAATGAACAAGGGAATGAATGAAGATAATTTTTTTTACATATTTTCACAGCACATTTAATATCATCTGTCATATTCTACAATGGAATTGCAGAAAATATTCTTTTCAGAAATAATATATTTTCCTTTTTTCTCATTTTTAGTTCTCAGTGTTCTTGGAAGAAAATCAGTCTGTGTCTTCCAATTTTATCAATTCTTCATTTTCTCTGAAGACATGATATGCTGGTCTTCTAAAATAACTTTTAAGCAGAATTCACCAATGGGGCAATTCTCACAGGTAAAAGGAGAATCTATATGCCTATGTGAACACAATTTGTGACAATCATGAGAATATAGTTAACACTAAAATTTTAAGCTCTTGCAAAGAAGGATTAATCTCTTCTCTGTATCCAGGACATGCCTGCCGATGCTAAATCACACATGCATGCTGAGTGAAGAATGCCTTTAGCTCATGTATAGGGATCACAAGATGATCTCAGCCAAACCTCAACGTAGCCCAGAAAAAGAGAAACACTGGCTGTCTTAGGAGACAAATTAGCACAAGGTACTATTTATGTATCATTTATCAACTGTGAAATTTTAAAAAATGGTTATAAATACAGTACTTGCAGCATAAACCGTTATTTGTTTTATTACACTAAGTTCCATTTAAAAGGACTCCATTCATGCAGGATGCTCTGTTTTGGTTGGCTGAGCAGTCAGATTTCTGTGCTTATAATTCATGTATATACTTGCTATGTGTATTGAGTGTACTCTCTTAATTCCAGTTGCCACAGCCAGACTGTAAATGCATATGTTTTTGTCATTCTTAACTACTGTAATTCAGAACTTCAGCTGCCAAATTTGGTGCTAATATTCTCACATATGCAGTTCATGCTCTGCTCTTAAATAATTCCTTGTTTGCTGTCAGCACCTTCTACCATGATCTATAAAATGGGAGAATCAATTTAAAGAAAAATAACCTAAATTGTTAACTAAATGGAGCTGCAATGTATTTTTCTTCTTGAAAATATTCCCTTTCCTATTATTTCCTTTATTTAGTAATTATAAACCCTGGTCAAGCAAAAAATATATATAGCAGAACATTTTAAGTATCAGCAAACCACAAACAGCTGTGTTTTCAAGAAGAAAAAAAGGAAAATCTCAGTTTCATGCTAGACCATTTTTTGAGGCACTGTCATTTTAAGTGTGGAGGCATCAATTATTTCCCCTAGGCTGAAAGGTCTACACATATAAAGGTTCTATAGATCCACTAAGAAAATAAGCAACCATTTCTGTGTATCATTAAACACAACAGGATACTAGTCCTGAAACACCGGCAGAATTCTGAGTGTGAACATTAAGGTTTCATACATCAGTTTCAAGTGAAATAGTTGTTTTAGGCCAAAGACGTTTGAGACCATACTTCAGGTTGTCAACTGCATAATATTTCAAGGGTCAAAAACTAGCTCCATTTCAAAAGCCTGTAACCTTACAGTCTGAAGAAACCCTGTGGGTCTCCTAGTTCAATATGACACTCAAGGCAGGAATTTTTCCCCTAGCATCCCTGACAGATGGTCAGCCTCTGTTGCAATTACTCTAGTGGGGGAGTTCTCAACAGAAGGTTCCCAAGGGCTATGATGAAAGGCCAGAACCAGCCATTCAGACCTGGAGTAAGGCTCCAGTCAGTAAGCTCGCAAGATACAGACAGCATTACCAAACATTAAAACCAGACTTCCACAAGCAAGAATGCGATTCTGAATTGACCATCATAAGGATGCAATGTCTAAGACACGCAGACCCCAATTCTAGAACCATCAAAGGTCCTTTCACTGGCCTAGGGAGTAGCTCTCACAACTGGGGAAGCAAGGTGGCTTTTCTCCGATTTTTTTTTTTTAAATGACTCTTTAAGGCTCACAGCAAGGCTTGATCAAGTCAGGGAGCATCAAATCCCTTCCTTCCAAAAATCAAGGCAAGGGACCCCCTGGCGGAAATGCTAAAGCTTAAAATACTCTTAACTTTGGTCTTAAATTCGTCACTACAGTAAACCAGAACATTTCGGGTTTTTCTTTTAAAGATGTACATAGGCTATGCTATAAGTGAAGTTTGGATGGTGTAGGGTAGATGGGGGGTGGGGGGCGAGCCGTGTTTTCAGCGCAGCCCTTCATCCCGCCTTGAAGTCTGGCTTCATTCTCCCTGGAAATCCAGGCGAGCGCGCGGGGCTGAGCTGCCTGCCGGTCCCCAGCCGGAGCCTGGGACGGGGCGGTCCGGCCCTTACCTGTCAATGCTGATCACGCACAGGGTCATGATCGAGGCCGTGCAGCACATGACGTCCATGGCGATGAAGACGTTACAGAAAAAGTGGCCAAAGATCCACTTGCCCCCGATGAGGTCGGTGACGCTGACGAAGGGCATGACCGCCACGGCCACTGAGAGGTCGGCCAGCGCCAGGGACACGATCAGGTAGTTGGAGGGCTGGCGGAGCTTCTTGACGAAGCACACGGAGATCACCACTAGGCAGTTGCCCGCGATCGTCAGCAGCGTGATGAGCGTCAGGATGGAGCCGATCACAACTTTCTCGGCTCTGCCGTAGTTGATCTGTTCCCCACAGCCGGAGGCATTGTCCGGGGGCGCGTCCCAGGTGGGCGCGGGGCTGGCTGTCACCTCGCTCAGCAGGTGCGGCGCCCAGGAGCCCGCCACCGGGTCGGCGCCACCGTCGGGGCTCAGGTCGGGCAGCCCGCGCCCCACCTCTGGCAGAAGGAAAGAGCGGAGGTGCCCGTAGAGGTCTGGGCGGCCGCTGCTGTTAACGTCCATCATCGCGCCGCCGTGTGCCGCTGCCCATGGAGCCGGCGCCCCCGCCACGCGCTCCGGCTGCCGGCCCCGGGGCTTCACCTCACCGGTTCCGCTCCGCCCGGCCCAGCCATGGGGCCCGCGCCGACCGCTGGGGGGCGCCCCGCTCGGTCTCGGAGCCCCGCACTCCCCGGACCCCCGGCCGCTGCGGATAACGCGGGAGCGCGGCTTCACTGGGACTCCCTGCGGGAGGCACCTCGGCCCCCGACGGACGCCCGGGACACGCGAAGTCGAGGGAGCTCGGGCCGGGCTCCGCCGGCAGCTCCACAGCTCGCAGCAGCCGCTCGGCTGGGCCGAGAGCGCCCGGGCGGCAGCGGCAGCGGCAGAAGTTGCGGAGTGCGCCCCGCCCCTCGCGCCCGCCGCCGCCGCCGCCGCCGCTCCCCTGCGGCAGCCGCGCCGCGTCCCCGCCGCCGCCGCCTCCGGCCGCTGCCCGCGCCCTCGCGCTCCTGGGACGGGATACCCGGGCTGGGCAGGGACCGCCGCCTCTCCCGCGCCTCCCTACTGTGAGGGGGCGGCGCTGCACGCGCCTCCCGGGATCCCGGGATCCCAGGTCCCTTCGCCCGGGAAGCTGTCCTTGCCGCATGATACTCAGAACCCCTCCAGCCGACCCCAGCCTCCGCACAGTAGTCAGCCACAGTTCAGTGGGGCATTTTTCTTTTGTTAAGAGGCCTAATGAGCCAGCGGATGTTCGGGCTCATTGCGAAATGAAGAACCTGGAGGGGGATTTTATTTTTCTTAATTAAACAAACAAACAAAAAAACCTCTCCGAGCACTACACTAAGCAACAAATAGGTACTTCCGTTTTCTATTTTGACCGCTTATGGAAAGAAGCGAAGATGGAAAAGAAGCAGCCGAATGGGGTGAGGGTGGGAGCTCCGAGAAGAGGAAGAAGGAAAAAAAGGAAGGGGGATTCCTTAAGCCCCTGGCACTTGAGAGATGGGGATGCTCTGGGGACGAGGCCTCCAAGGGGGTTAAACCCATTTAGACTAATCCTTCCTGGATGTCTAGAAACAGTCCTCTTCGCTCTGAAAATAGACCCTGATTGCCCTTATATTTCGACTTCAAAGCCTAATATATTGAAAAGAGAGTTAATTTTCCCGTAGCATTCTGGAAGTGTTACACATAAGCAAAGAAATGGCCGGTTATACTGTTCTATAGAGGAATCCACGAGGTGTATGTTGATTTAATACCTATTGGCTAAAATTCCCCTTAGTATCTAAACCCTGTCAGAGCGACTGATTTTTATTGTTTGTGAGACTTGCTTCATTCCATGTCGTTTAAAGGTTTCACTGGAAGCCAGCAGTGATTTCTTTAGTTTAAGACTCTAAAAATAATCAAATCTGTTTTCTTTTCTTGTTAGGCCCTAGCGGATTATAAATAAGAAGAAAAGGAATAAAAATCTCAAAGTATATTGATCAGAGTGCTGAATAGTACTTCCATTCTTCAAGGTGGGTATTAGCCCTGTTTTTCCAGATAAGGAAACTTATTTGCTCTTGCAATCAGCTAGTAAGAAATAGTTATGTTTCAAACCCAGGTTTATCTGATTACTATGCCCATATTTTTCCCTGTACACATTCAAAGAAAGTTTAATGAAAAGAAAAAAAAAAAAAAAGCCCTCATGGTTGGCCAATGTTCACAGCTCTCTCGCTGTGATCAACATTTCAGAGGCTCCTCTCTGCCTAGGATAAGCAAACCAATCCATTGAGTCAGAGGAAGAATGGAAGATAATATCTAGGCCACAAAGCAATATTATCTAATAGTTAAGAAGATGGATGAGGAAATTTCTTCAACCTTACTTATGTCAGTTATTCTCTGTTTCGCTTTTCTTGGTTTCAGTTATCTGTGGTGAACCATGGTCCGAAAATATTAAATGGAAAATTTCAGAAATAAACAATGTGTAAGTTGTTAATTGCACACTATTCTGAGTAGTGTGATGAAATCTCTGTCTTACCCAGGATATGAATCATCCCTTGTCCAACATATCCACACTGTATATACCACCCACCATTAGTCACTTAGTAGCCCTCTCTCTTATCAGATGGGAAAAAAAAAAACATAGTATATATAGGATTGAGTACTATCTGAGGTTTTAGGCATCCACTGGGGATCTTGGGAGATATCCCCTGAGGAAATCTCAGACAAAAGACAAATAGTTTGTTGCTGGAATACATCTAAGAAACCATTTGTTCACCCTTCAGTGCAGAGGAGGAAATAGAGGCTGGGAGAAATTTTATAACTTGTCCAAGATCATATGTGACTGCATTGAAATGTCTCCATTTTTTATTTTGAGGTGTAGAATTGTCTTAAGGTCTTTTAAAAATTCGTTCATGACATTTATTTCATTTTAACTTTTCAATTCGTTTTAACTTACTTTGACTTTTGTATTCTTCCACTTGAATACCCTAATCAGTTCAGCTTATGTATTCTGTCTTGGCTCTGTCAAATAATATTCCACAATAATTACCCACAGATTTTGAAAATTAATCGTTTTATTTGTATTTAAACCTCTAGTCAATATGATTTACCACCTACACTCTTACCAGCCCTCACATAGCCCATTTATATTTCACAACAGCTTCTAGTTTTTGCTTTTGTCTTGTTTTAGTCCCTTTGGGATGCCATAACAAAAATATCATAGCCTGGGTGACTTAACAACAAACATTTACCAAGATCAAGGCACCAGCAAATTCAGCATCTGGTGAGGGACAATATTCTGGCTTATAGACAGCCATCTTGCTGTGTCCTCACCTGGCAAAGGGGGTAAGAGAGCTCTCTGGGTCTCTCTCTGTTTTTTTTTTTTTTTTTTTGAGACAGAGTCTTGCTCTGTCACCCAGGCTGGAGTGCAGTGGTGCGATCCCAGCTCACTGCAACCTCCACCTCCCAGGTTCAAGCGATTCTCCTGCCTCAGCTTCCCAAGTAGCTGGGATTACAGGCACATGCCACCACACCTGGCTAATTTTTGTATTTTTTGTAGAAGAGACTGCGTTTCACCACCTTGGCCAGACTGGCCTCAAACTCCTGACCTCAAGTGATCCGCCTGTCTCAGCCTCCCAAAGTGCTGGGATTACAGGCATGAGCCACCATGCCTGGCCTGGGGTCCCTTTTATGAAGGTACTAATCCCATTTAGGAGGGTTCCACCCTCATGACTTAATCATCTCCCGAATCATCTTCCCTCTCCCATCTGACAAAGGCCTAATGTTCAGAATCTATAACTTAAATGAAGAAACAAGCAAGAAACAAATAACACCATTAAAAAGTGGGCAAAGAACATGAACAGACACTTCGCAAAAGAAGACATACAGGTGGCCAACAAACATGAAAAAATGCTCATCATCCCTAACCATCAGAGAAATGCAAATCAAAACCACAATGAGATGCTCTCTCACACCTGATACCATCACAATGGGGAGTAGGATTTCAACATACCAATTTTTCGGAGGAAACAAACGTTCATTCCATAACAACTTTTAAATTGTGTGACATATAAATACAGGAAATAATCATTAAAATACTACTTTTTAAATACTTCCTCTTTCATTGTCAATATAGCGTCGAGTCCAAGCTCCCTTTTTTATAGAACAGTCACCTCTATTATATTATCCCTAGTGATGGCTGAGTGTATTTCCCAAGAGTTGCTAGGTTTTTAATTTATAAGCTGTCACAATGCATAAACATACTTATTGAAAATCTCGGCTTCTACAGCATTACTTTGCTTATGTTGAGTTTAAATTTCATCTATCATTGTGTTATTCCAAAATCCTGACAGAGCAATCTGGAATTCTTTCAGTTTCCCTTTAACCTTCACTAACAAATAATTATGTCCTCATAAAAATGCCAAAATCTAGTGTATACTTTTCCATAATTTTCTCACAAAGAAACGCTAAAGATATAGCTTCACAAAATATTCATAAAATATCTAAATATTCATCTAAATTTGTTGTTTGTTCTGCCCTTAGTTTTCTGGTGTTTAAAAGCCATATCAAGGTGTTGCTTCCTTCTTCCCTCCCACTGCCCGCCTACTCTTCGACAGTTATACCAGAGACAGTGAGTAAAGTGTTGGCATCTAAATCAAATCATGTCTTTCGTTTTTATCCCTTTTATTCCTTGCATTTAAAAAAAATTACTGCTTTTAAAAGTACCAACTCTTATCTAGACTCTTATTGGCTACAATAACATTCTCATAAGATTGTCAGTGAGGGCACCTGAGAATACAGCTTTTTGAGGTTTCCAACTGGCAATCTCCTGCTCTCAGAACTGCTCTGGGGGAGGGCAGAAGAGCTGTGGAGTCTTACAGCATAGTTACTGTCTTCTTATATGCCCTTCTTCCCTCTAGGTACTCATCTAGCTCATCTAAATGCATATGCGTAATCCCATCTATGAAAACCTACACATATCCCTCCATAGGACATAAGCTTAGGATAGTTTGTTTTGCCATAAACCGGCATACCCTGACAACCTAGATGTACTTTAAAAAGCACAAATAAAGCTTCCTAACCATAGGGTTCATTGGCAACTCACTAGTCAGTCAAGCATGCTGATATCATGTCTACTGGGGGTCTGATGGCCTCCCATGCCCAATGCAGTGGACTTCCACAGGGCCACTCTTTCATTTCCCCAAATTTTTCAGTCTCTCACATTTGTACCCCATTTTCTCACTCAACTAAACTAATTATCTGGGTGTCCTTTGCCCCCAGAATTGGGTGAGAAAAGACTAGGAAAACTAGAATGCTTAGACAGTGTAGCACTAAGAGTATTGTATATAAATATCCTGATACTACCCTGTGGCCATTATTGGGGCTACAGATCACTATCACAGAGACAGAACACATATGCTAGAGACAGGGACTCAAATCCATCAACACAGACATTTTTGAGGCCCAGTTAGGGTAAAAGCAGTTAGTCTGGGACACCTGAATGTCTCCTTCTCAGTGAGAGTACCCCTTGCCATAGTTAATGTCATTCTTTCTAGGGTTTTAAAGCACTTTTAAGTTATCTTTATTATAGTATATACTGTTGCATTATGCTTCATATTTCCATGACATCTTCCCCATTAGACTGTGAACTCACCAAAGGGATATTTCCTTACTCCTGCCATACACTAGGTGTCCAATAAACATTAGTCAGTTGAACTGAGTGTAGAATAATGCCTATAACCAAGAATCCGTCATGTTTCAAGGTAATTGTTCAGCTTAAAAATGAATCGTGAGTTTTGTTTTACTTTAGACATACTAAAAAAAAGTACATTTTTTCTTTGATTTTTTCCATTTAGAAAATTTTCATTCTATTTAAAAAGTAAATGTAACCTTTAAAAAGTTTCCACCAAACAAGATAAATGAAAAATCCAGACAACAGCTACATCCAAGAGCCCTTATTTATTTTATTAATTACTCAATTTTTCTTAACCAGGAGTTTTCAAAATATAAGTGATGCATGCATACCCCCTAGTGGGGAATCTATTCAGCAATGCAAATTCCACAAAGACACAGCTTTCATGGAAAGTTGTTATCAATGAACAAATTTGACATTGTCAGCTTCCAATCCTTCCTGAAAGATTTCTAATGAGAAGAAAATTTAAATTCCTCAATTAAAAAATTGATTAAAGTAGCAACAATTCATTGAGTCAACATTAATTAAGGAGTGTCTAATGCAAACCAGGTATTGTTTTAGGAGCTTTGTTTTAAAAGGACACATTAAGTTTGAGATACTATTGGATTATTCAAGTGGAGATGTCAGCTGTGCAAATACAATTTCAGGGGAAAATCTCCCAAGAGGAAAAGGAGTTACAGAAGAGTCCTGAGGATTTAACCGTGGGATGCACCAACATCCGGAGATCTTGGAGAGGAAAAGAAACCAACAAAGACTGAGAATGAGGGGGCAGTCAGGCAGGAGAAGAACTAAGAGAAATTGGATATTTAAAGTCAAGGGAAGAAAATGTTTCAAGGGGGTAGAAATTGACTGAATTAAGTGCAAAGTAAGGCAAGAACTGTTTCAGTGGAATGGTAGGGGTAAAGCAGATTGGAATGGATTCAAGAGATCAAAAGAGAGAACATGGCAATTCAGAAGGTGGACAACTTTTGGAGTAGTTTAACTCAAAAGGGCAACCAGTAATTTGGGCAAAATCTAGAGAGATTTGTGGTATTTCAAGATAATCAAAATAGAAGTAAGGCTTTCATTGAAGTAGCGATAGGATACATCTTATTCTATAGTTTCTTTAGAATTTTATGAATCCTTCTATATTCAACAAAATGATATCTTAATGTGAAATTACCATCACAGTCATATCCCATGTCTAGGAAAAACTATGCCTAATCCATTATTTTATTTTATTTGTTGAGACTTTTTTTTCTCGAGATGGAGTCTCACTCTGTTGCCCAGGCTGGAATACAGTGGCGCGATTTTGGCTCACTGAAACCTCTGCCTTCTGGGCTCAAGCACCTCCCCCTGCCTCTGCCTCTTGAGATGCTGGGATTACAGGCCCCTGCCACCACACCTGGCTAATTTTTGTATTTGTAAGTAGAGACTGGGTTTCGCCATGTTGGCCAGGCTGGTCTTGAACCACTGACCTCAGGTGATCCACCTGCCTTGACCTCCCAAAGTGTTGGTATTACAAGTGTGAGCCACCGCACCCAGCTTGATCCATTCTTTTAGTCATTCAATAAGCATGTCCTAGCTACATATTAATAGGCACTGTGCTAAGTGCTGGTGTCCATAAATAAGGCAGGTTCTCTGCTCTGCAGATGTTCATTGGTAGAAGAGACAGACAAGTAAATAATTACAGCACAATGTGAAAGTCTCCTAATATAGGTATGAAGCAAACGTATGAGAGCCCAGAGGAAAGAGATATTAGCTCTGCTTGGAAAGACCAAAGAATTCACAGAGCTAACATATCAGCTCAAGTAGAAAGTTCATTAGAAGACTGGAGGAAAGGAGAAGGCAATGCTGACAGGGTCCATAAACACATGGAAGACTTGCCATAGTGGTGGAAAATGGCAAGGGTAGACTTGTTGGGGCAGATCAT